ATGGATTGCCCGCTTATGAGCTCGTTGGCGTGAGATTTAAGAGCTGCCTGTGTGTGGACAGCTGTTCAATAGCAGTTTGGACTAATTCTATAAATATCGGCTATTTTACCGCCGGCTCTTTCTGCTTTCACTCTCCAGATGCTAATTTTTCATCTGAGATTCTTCCAGCGCATTTTACGCGGGGAGAGAGCACCATGATCATTTCCCAATAAGCGAGTTCAATGTGGCGTTGCAACCGGGTGTCCACGGTCGTCATTTATCTTCCCGCGTGTCCTTTGTTTTATGATTTTGCTGAGAAGACAACTGTGTCCCTTCCTGAGGACACCGGTTATCCGTGTTGTTACATCAGCGAGAAGGAAATATCCAGGACTGAGATGAGGGGAGAGACGGCTGGTCTTTCCAGGGCCCTTTCTGTCCGTGAGTCAGAATCCGGACCCTGGGCCCAGTGCCGTGTCAGCCAGCTCAGTCCTCCCAGACAGTCCATAAGGCTTCGATGGCTTCTCGGTTCCCTATCAAAATTCACATCAGTGTGGCCCGGCTGGTGTGGCTCAGTGGTTGAGCATCGACCTATGAGCCAGGAGGTCACGGTTCGATTCCCAGTCAGGGCACAGGTCCGGGTTGCAGGCTCCATCCCCAGTGTGGGGCGTGCAGGAGGCAGCCTATCAATGATTCTCTCTCATCATTGATGTTTCTCTCTCTCTCCCTCTCCCTTCCTCTCTGAAATCAATAAAGATATATTTTTAAAAATTGACATTGGTGTGAACTCCCAAGTCTGGCTATGATTTGGGTGCTAAAACCCCTGGACTGAGATTCTGGTCATTCACAGCCTTGATTATGATTTTAATTTATTTGGCCTCTTAGACTCAGGTTAAACCCACGGTGATCAGAGTCACCTGGGGAAACTGGTATCAGGAGCGACGAGGAACTTCACGTTGAACTCTGAGCCCAATACTCTACGGACCCTGCCATACACACCCTGTTACTTATTCTCTTTAAAAAATATTCTTACTGATTTCAGAGAGGAAGCAAGAGGGAGAGAGAGCGAGAGAAGCATCCATGATGAGAGAGGATCATTGATTGGCTGCCTCCTACATGCCCCCCACTGTGGATCGAGCCTGCAACCCGGGCCTGTGCCCTGACCTCCTGGTTCATAGATCGATGCTCAACCACTGAGCAACACTGGCCAGGCTATTTATTCTCTTTTAAACCGGTTGCCTTGTCAGTTCTTTGTAGACTGATGGCCACTCAATCTCCTCACCAGCCAGAGCTTTGGGGCCAGTTTTCTCTCCTAAAACCTTTGCTGTTTCCACTTTTAAAGTTTTGCTGCACGTGAAGCTTGTTACCGTGGCCTCTGGAAGGATGGCCCAGGCACCAGACCTTCCCCTCGGCTGTCGGGGAGCCCTCAGAGGCCGTCGCTGCAATGGAGACGTTGGTCAGAGAGGAGTGATCTATGGGGAGATGGCAGAGCAGAGGGGACGACTGACTATAAAAGGAGCCATCAGGTGTCGGCGACAGCATGAGCCTGGCGGTGAGCAACCCGCTGAGGGTCAGGAATGTGCCGACGTGGACGAGTAAGCCATGTCTTCCCATAAAAGCAAAGCCGCACGCTCAAGGCCGCCCAATGGGAGGCTAGGTCAGCAGAACTATTTTAATGGGAGCGAGGCCTCTGTGTGTCAGGAGACGGCCTCGGTGAGTGAGAACATTCCAGGCGATGCGCGGAGTGACACGGAGGAATGGTCACATGATTCAGCACCTGCTGCCTCAGGTATATAAGCTCCCTCCCCACTCGCTGACACTCACTCTCAGGATCTCGTCTTGAACAGAAACACACTCCCCCTGACACCATGAGCTACTACGGCAGCTACTACGGAGGCCGCGGCTACGGCTGGGGCGGCTTCGGGGGCCTGGGCTGTGGCTATGGCTCCGGCTGGGGCTGGGGCGGCTTCGGAGGCCTGGGCTGTGGCTATGGCTACAGAAGCTATGGCTGTGGCTGCTGGCGCCCGTCCTGCTACGGGGGATACGGATACTCTGGCTTCTACTGAAATCCTGCCCAGCAGCCCCACATCTGAGACCGTGAAAGGGGGACCCAATGTGACTGCCGTGGCCGGACCAGGACCCGCTAAGGCCCAGCATCAGCGACACGACTAGGAATGGTGATCACGTCATGGTTGTCTGCACCACGTCCCCTGTGTTTCTTGTTTGCATTCTCGTAACTGTGGGATTCTCTGTTCTTTTTGCAATAAATGAGCGTAAGTTAAGACGGCGAATGTGGCTTTTATTTTTCTGTGAGAGTCCACGGCCAGCGTGGCTTTCGCGGGTTCAAAGACTTGGAGGGAGGGCTGACGCTCAAATGATACACAAGACGGAATATTAATTTTTATAATTACCAGGGGAACCAGAGAATAACCCAACTAAAGAAGTGGAGTTCTCCCTGTTGCTCCGTTCCCAGCTGCTTTTATTAGCTAGAATACACAGTTGCCTTTAGGAATGCAAACAGACATATCAATGGTCATGTTTAGCAAACAGTAAGATCATCAGGTTTTGGGGGAGTTTGCTTTAGGCCATTGAGTCAGCAGCAGGTAATAAAATGTAGATATTCACCCTGTGAATATCAAAAGGAGTCCTGATCAGCCTTCTGCCAGACTCCTCACATTTATATCAATTACTGTTGATCTTGGTCTGCAGCATTTTTCTATTTAGCTCAAAATATCAGAGTGATTATTTGTAACCGTACCAATTGATAATGAAGAAAACAAACTACTCCATGAAAAACTAAAGAGGATCTATACATGCATCACACACACACACACACAGAAACACACACAGACACACACAGAAAACACACACACAGACACAGAAACACACACACAGAAACACACACACAGACACAGAAACACACACACAGAAACACACACACAGACACAGAAACACACACACAGAAACACACACACACACACACACACACACACCCAAGGCCAGACAGGCAGATAGATGTAAACCCTCACACTCAGTTGAAATGAAATTTTTTTTCTAAACACAAGACCAGATCGTATTCAGCGTTTGTAGTGAGACAACACGGATGCTTAAACTTATACTGAAATGTCAGTTATAGGCACTGTCACATCTACAGCGAGGCCAGCACGAGGAATAAGTACGTTTCTGTTCTGTTAAAAACTTGTTGGTTTTGGCGATGAGGAAAAGCAGTGACAGGATGGAGTCGGTCTCCACTTTTGCACTGAAAATGCCCTTCTTCACGGGACTCCCCCGTTTCTCCACGGCCGCCCGGGATGCGGGTGATTGTTCTCCGTGGAGGCCGCGCCCTGACATGCTCACCGGGACACGCAGCGCTCCCTGCCGCCCCGGGTGGCGTGTCTGCACGAACACAGCTGCCGTGGAGTTTAGTGACCGCCGCCCCTGGACCCCCTCCGGTGGTTCTGATTGTTAAATATCCTGCTGGAGGCTCCTGAGCGGCCCTTTCCTGATTGGGCTGCATCTTTGTAGAAATAACTAGTGAACAGCGCTAAACCCAAACCCATTAAAAGTTATGATGCGTAGGAAAGTCTCTGGTTCACTGAGCACAGGCACTGACTTGCTGAACCGATCTTACCACCACGCCTCTCAGTGCCTTGGGAGGGAGAGGGGCTCCAGCCTCACAGTGACAAACGAGAGAGTGCAGGGCCCTGGCCTGTGTGGCTCAGTGGATAGAGCGTCGGCCTGCAGACTGAAGGGTCCCGGGTTCGATTCTGGTCAAGGGCACGTACCTGGGCTGCAGGGTCCTCCCCAGCCTGGGCCCCGGTTGGAGCTCGTGCAGGAGGCAACCCATCGATGTGTTTCTTTCACATCAACGTTTCTCTCTGTCGTTCCCTCTCTCTTCCACTTTCTCTAAAAAATCAGTGGGAGCCCCAGCTGGTTTGGCTCAGTGGATAGAGCATCGGCCTGCAGACCGAAGGGTCCCAGGTTTGATTTTGGTCAGTACCTGGGTTGCGGGCTTGATCCTCAGTAGGGGGCATGCAGGAGGCAGCCGATCAGTGATTCTCTCTCATCATTGATGTTTCTGTCTCTCTCCCCCTCTCCTTTCCTCTCTGAAATCAATAAAAACATATTTGAAAATAAAAAAATAACAATTCAATGGGGAAAACCCTTGGGTGGAGGATTAACAAAACCAAAAAAGGAAGTGCGGCCCCTTTTCTGTGGCCCCCCGGGGGGGGGGGGGCTGCACCCCAGGGCGCCTCAGAGCGTGTGCACACAATGCCTCTGCCCGCCGACCGTCTCCTGAAGGGCCTGGGGGACCTCCTGGGGGGGGGTCTCCGTGCAAACGCATCCTGGGGTGGCTTGATTCGTTTTCCATCCTGGACTTGCTTGGAAACAGAAGGCACACCGAGAGCATCCCTCTGTATCCATGGAAACCTGTCCGTGTGGGGTCCGTGGGTTCAAGCTTCCCAGCAGCGGGCTGAGCTCTGCAGGCGCCTGTGCTGAGCCCGCTGAGCCCCTTCCCGGGGCCTCCCCCCTCCAGAGCCTGTCCTCCCCGCGGGCTCTGTGTCCCTGTCTCAGGTCGGCCCCTCGGGGCCAGCTCCTCAGGGACGGGCTCCGGCCCCTCCTCCTGTCCTCCCCGCCCACCCGCCTGCCCGGGGCTGCCTCTCAGCCACAGCCTCGCCGATGCCCTGACTCCTCTCCTGGCACCTTCTTTGAAGTCACGGGCAGAACCTCGCGGGCCTTCGTCTGAGCCACCCGTGCACGCGTGGTGACATCACCTGAGCCCAGCAGCGTCCTGATCCCGTCCCACACGCCGTGACCCTCCCAGAATCGGCCGTGTCTCTGGAGTCGTCCTCGCTGCAGCCACCGCCTGGCCCCGGCCTCCCGGCTAATGGGCCTTAAAGCGGCAGGAGCCTCCGAGGCCGTGGCCGTGGCTGGGCCAGGGAGGCGGGGCTTGAGGAGAAGCTTTGCTTTCACATAACGAGGAGGAGCCCCAACGCCAGGAGGGAGCCTGGGAGCATGAGCAACAGCAAGCAACGTCTTTGTTTTCTTTTTACTATTTTTATGGATTTGAGAGAGAGAGAGAGAGAGAGAGAGAGAGAGAATGAAGGGGAATCATTGATCAGCTGCCTCCTGCACGCCCCACACTGGGGATGGAGCCTGCAACCCAGGCGTGTGCCCTGACCAGGAATTAACCATGACCTCCTGGCTCATAGGTGGCCGCTCACCCACTGAGCCGCGCCGGCCGGGCGGAGTGATGGTTCCTTAACCGCCCCAGCTGCCCAAGGCCAGCAGCAGGTCCCGCACGGCCGTGGGGGTCAGGCTGTCCTCTCAGCCTCACAGACGAGAGGTGCTGTGGCCGCGGCCGTCGTGGTGCCAGGAGGGATGCGTGTTGGGTCTGGTCTTCAGTCCAGGTCCTCGGAAGTCACTCCAGGCCTGATGCCGCCCTTCTCGCATCTCTGTTAGCCTCATGGCTTCCACGCGGCAGGTCCTTCCACAGCCTCCGCCCTGGTCCTCGTTCAGGACCCCCGCTGTGGGGGCAGGGCCAGGCCTGCCCGCCGAGCAAGAGCATCACCGATGTCCGACCTTCCTGCCTTGGTCCCTTTCCGTCTGGCTTCCGGGTCCATCGCTCAGGGGGGCCTCTTACCGGCACCGTGAGCAGTGGGTTCTGCACGCTCAGCGGACGTGAGGAGAAAACAAGACGGGATGAAAGGAGGCTCAGGAGAGATGACGCGATGGAGGGATGCAGTGACAGAGGTGTCCGACCCAGGCCGCTGCCCACGCCACACGGCGGACTGAACGTAACCACCGAAGAGCCGGGGGAGGATTAGTGCTGGCAGGAGTTTGGGGGGCGGAGGGAAGAGCAGGTGGAGGATACGGGGTTTCTAGGGCAGTGAGATTATTCTGCATGACATGTTTTCGTGGTCACATGACATGCATTTGTCCAAACCCACAGAACAGGACAACACAAGAGCGCGCTCCCATGTACACTGTGGGCTTTGATTCCTGACAGTGTGTCCATGTGGGCTCATTAATTAGGACTCCTGTGCCGGACGTGTTTCATACGCTCAACAACAGGGGAAAGGTGCCTGTGTGTGGGTGTGCAGGAACTCCCTACTTCCTGCTGATTTTCTCTGTGATCTTTAAACTGCTCTAAAAATGAAACCTATTTATGTAAAAGAGGAGACCACATAGCATGTGAGAGACACGGTGAAGAAGGGGAGGAGCAGTGAGTGGAGGGACAGAGGAGGGTGTAACGGCCTTTAGGAAGCACCTTGGAGCAACTCATCCCAGAGGAGAGGAGCCGATGAGAGAGGATGAGCTTTGATCAGCCTTTAAAGCCAGGGATCCTCAAGCTACAGCCCGCGGGCCACATGCAAATACAAATATTGTATTTGTTCCCGTTTTGTTTTTTTACTTGAAAATAAGATATGTGCAGTGTGCATAGGAATTTGTTCATAGTTTTTTTTTAAACTATAGTCCGGCCCTCCAACGGTCTGAGGGACAGTGAACTGGCCCCGTTTAAAAAGTTTGAGGACCCCGGCTTTAAAGCCCTCGAGAGGCAGGCCTTGGTGACTGTCATTCTCTCTGAGTTTCAGACCAATGTTATCCCACACTCGCCAACGCCCACAGGACAACACAAAGCCTAAAGAGTACACAACCGCCTGGCTGGTGTGGCTCAGTGGTTGAGCATTGACCTATGAACCAGGAGGTCAGGGTTCAATTCCCGGTCAGGGCACATGCCCGGGATGCAGGCTCCATCCCCAGTGGGGGGCGTGCAGGAGGCAGCCGATCAATGATTCTCTCTCATCATTGATGTTTCTATCTCTCCTTCTCCCTTCCTCTCTGAATCAATAAAAATATATTTAAAAGAAATAATAAACAATGGATTTACTTAATAATTATATACCAATATTGGTTATCAATTGTAACAAGCAATAACGGTTTCCATGTTGCACAGTAGAATGAAAGGTGAAAAGTGAGCCCGTTACAATGGTCACTGTTCTCAGAGGAAAGGAAGCAGATCTTTGGCTCCTTCCTCGCGCTCCGCATGGTGCTCATGGGAGCT